GTATGAGAAACGCTCGGCTCGCAGGTATTCATCTGGTGTTCACTATCGATACGATCGATGGTTCTCGTACAGCTGGTTCTTTGTCACTGAGCCTCGATCGAGACCGTATGCTAATAATCAAAATGCTCGATAGAGGCTCGAGGACAAACGAACCGGTCGGATTGGTCCGTTCGGCACCACACCTTCTTTCATAATTAATTAAAATGGATTCCCCGCTTACGTAGGGAACGAGCGCTCCGAACAACTTCGCCGTAGTTGTCATCCACACAGGAACAAACAGAGTGCCTCTCCGTCTCTCCGTTTCTCCGCACCTGTTCTCGGTCTCTATCGCGCCGCCGAGTTTAGAATGTAGAAGCTTAACTCCACCGGCTCTATTTTGTTACGTCTCTCTAATGTTTATGCAATTATACCTTGTAACTGTTTACTCCGAGTTACAGTCGTGGAGATTATTCCAGCGCTGTTTCGGTCCGACGATTACGACTACGACGACGAAATCGCGAATGTGCGTTTGCTCGTTAATTGAGTTTAATACAGCGTTTCTCCTGTTATATCTATGCGCTCGGCAAATGTTAGGGCTGAATAAGTAAATCGAACGTAAAAAATTATGGCTATTCGCGAAAAATCGATGCTCGAAAAAGTCAACGCGTAAATTCAGAGTTGGACTTCATTCACTTCCGATATATTATTTTCTTGCAATTTTTTTTGCAAATATGTAAGCTCCTACTTCTTATTGCAATAAGGAAAAAACAAATGAAGTAATTATCAGATCTTTTACGAATATGTCATTTTGATTTTGTTTTTGATATTGTTTATATATATGTGTATATATATATATATATATATATATATGTGTGTATATATCCTTATGTGTTACAGTATGTATTATTTCTCTTTGTGATATTATTATATTTAAATTTAATGGGTGTTATGATAATTACATATATAATATTTTCGAATCAATAAAATTAACTGACGGGCAGGCGACGAGCAACCAAATGCTATCGGAAAATGTAAATTCAAATGAAATTGTAAATCCGTATAACAACACAAATGCATATGGATTAAATAAAACTTCAAAATTATATTAAAGCGAACACGGAACATCCACTTTGATATCGACTGGCAATTTTCCATAAAGACAAACGATATTTCTTGTTAATACGTACTAACGATATTATTGTGTATTTGACAAATGTACGGAGATAATATCAGCGAAATTGATGAAATACAAGAGTTTGATAAAAAACAAGATGATATATCTATGATGGCGGTAATAATAATATAGATGCGTGAAAGCTTAATAATTGAACAAACATTTCTTAAAAATGACATTGTAAAACTTTAATTAAATTACTTTTAAAACTTTAATATA